GGGTGCCTGGGTGGCTCAGTCATTAAGCGTCTGCCTTCGGCTCAGGTCATGATCCCAGGGTCCTGGGATCGAGTCCCGCATCGGGCTCCCTGCTCGGCGAGAAGGGGAAGCCTGCTTCTCCCTCTCCCACTCCCCCTGCTTGTGTTCCTGCTCTCACTGTCTCTTTCTCTGTCAAATAAATAAATAAATATTAAAAAAAAGAAAAAGAAGACAGTCTCAACAAATGAGAAAAAAATAGAGCAAATTAAAACCAAAGTAAACAAAAGAAATAATAAAGAGCAGAAATCAATAAAACAGTATTCAGAGATAAATCAATGAAACCAAGAACTGGTTCTTTCAAAGATCAATAAAGCAGATAAGCCAGTAGCCAGACTAATCATGAAACAAAGAGAGAAACACAAATATTAAGATATTAGGAATGAGAGAAGTGATGTCACTACAGACCCCATAGACCATAAAGGGATAAGAAAAGGATATTATAAATACTATATGCCAATAAATTCAACAACTTAAATGAAATAGACAAAATCTTTGAAAGACACAACAAAGCTCACTGAAGATGAGTCAGATAATCTGAATAGTCCTATATCTATTACAGAAATTGAATTTGTAGCTAAAAACTTTCCCACAAAGATGGTTTTATTGGTTAATTCTACCAAATAATAAAAGTTGTAATGGTATCAATTCTATACAAGCTCACCTAGAAAACTGAAGAGGGAATAATTCCCAACTCAGTCAATAAGCCCAGCATCACCCTGGTACCAAAACCAGACAAAGACATTACCAGAAAAGAGATCTATAGGCAAATATTCCTCAAGAATACATACGTAAAAAATCTTATTAAGATTTTAGCAAAATAAATATAGCATACAAAAAAGATAATACATCATTGTCAAGCAGGGCTCATCCTAACCAGGTTGACTTAATATTCTAAATAGTACTTCTACATTATAAAATTAATATAATTAATCATAGTAACATAATAAAAAGGAAAAACCACCTGATTGTATCAGGAGGTGCAGAAAAAGCATTTGACAAATGCTCACCTCTATCAAAGACAAAAATTCTCAGAAACTAGGTATAGAAAGGAAGTTCTGTAACTTGATAAAAGGCATCTACATAAAAACCTACAGCTAACATACTTACTGGTAAAAGCCTAAATGCTTTCCCCCTAAGACCAGAGAAAAGGAAAGGATATCTGCTTTTGCCACTTTTATTCAATATACTAGAGATTCTAGCCAGTGTAATAAGGCAAGAAAAATAAATAAAACACATCTGGATTTGAAAGGTAAAAAGTAAATTTGAAAAGTAAAACTATCTTCATTTGTAGATAACATGAACATTTATATAGAAAATACTACAGAAGCAACAAAACCTACTCAAACAAATTAGCAAGTTTAGTAAGGTTGCAGTGTATAAAATCAATATTTTAAAAATATATTTCTAGGGGCATCTGGGTGGTTCAGTTGGTTTAGCATCCGACTCTTGGTTTCAGCTCAGGTCATGATCTCAGGGTCATGGATCAAGCCCTGTGTTGGGCTCTGTGCTCAGCAGGGAGTCTGCTCGAAGATTCTCTCCCCCCCACCACCCCCTGCTCACATTCTCTCTCCCTCTCTCTCAAATAATCTTTAAAATATATGTATTTCTATATACTACCAACAAATAATCAGAAATTAATTTTTTATAATTGCATTTATAATAAAATAAAAATATCAAATACTTAGGGAGACATTTTTAAAAACACATGCGAGAATGGAACACTTTTGGCATCTGGGTGGCTCAGATGGTTAAGCATCCATCTTCAACTCAGGTCATGATCCCAAGGTTCTGGGATTGAACCCCACATTGGGCTCCCAACTCAACAAGGAGTCAGCTTCTCCCTCTCCCTCTGCCTGTCTCCCCTGCTCATGCTCTCTCTCGTCTCCAATGAATAAATAAAAAATCTTTCTTTAAAAAAAGAACTGTACACTGCAAACTACAAAACACTGCTGAGAGAAACTGAGGAGCATCTAAATAAATAGACATATCATGCTCATGGATCAAAAAACTTATTATTGTTAAGATGCCAATTCTCCCCAAGTTGATTCACAGCAATTCCACTCACCCCAGCAGGCTTCTCTGTAAAAATTGTCAAGCTGATTCAAATATATGTGGAAATGCAAAGAAACTAGAATAGCCAAAAAACAAAACAAAACAAAACAAAACCACACCACTTTGAAAAGGAAGAAAACTTTGACAGACCTACACTACATGATTTCAATATTTAATATAAAATACAGTATTCAAGATAGTATGGTATTATCATAAAGACAGACATACAGATAAATGGAACAGAATAGATCCAGAAATAGATCCATACATATTATGGATATATATGGTCAATTTTTGACAAAGGTGTCAAGGCAACTCAATAGGAAAAAGACAATCTTTTTGCCAGAAAATGGTAGGAAAAAAACTGATATTTGTATTCAAGGAAGGAACGGGGGGAGAGGGGGAAGGAGGAAGGAACAAAGAAATAAAGGGGAGGAGGAGAAAAGGAAAGAGAAGGAGGGACCTCAATCCTTACCTACCACCATTTACAGAAGTTAACTCAAAATGGGTGCTAGACCTAAATATAAGAGCAAAATCTATGAAACGTCTAGAAGAAAACATGAAAGAAAATCTCAGTGATCTTGGGTTTTCTTAATTTAAATTTTCTTAAATAGGATACAAAAGCACAGACTATTAAAAAAAAAACAAGCAGCAGATTTCATAAAAATAAAAAATGTATGCACTTCAAAGGACATTTAAGAAAAGTAAAAGGCAAGCCACCAAGAGAAAATATTTATAAAACATATATCCAAAATGGGCTTATATCTAGAAAAAACTCTGACAACTTATTATTAAGACAACCCAATTTTTAAAATACACAAAATATTCAGACAGGTCACAAAAAAAGATATATGGATGACAAAAAGAGCACATAGATGATAGCTTGCAGCACTAGTCATTCCAGAAATGCAAATGAAATCACCATGAGATCCCACTACATACCCCCAACTATGGCTAAAGTTAAAAAGACTGAGCATACTAAGGATTGGTGAGAACGTAGACCACTGGAACACTCATAAACTACTCCTCGTAAACTGGTTAGATGTAAAATGATACAGCCACTTTGAAAAGCAGTTTGGAAGTGTCTTCTAAAATTAAACAAATACTTACCATATAACTCTGACATGCTACTCCTAAATATTTACCAAAGAGAAATTGAAACATATGTCCACACAAAGACTTGTGCACAAATGTTCATAACAGCTTTGTTTAGAATAGCCCAAACTGAAAATAACACAAGTGTCCTTCAACATGTGAGCTGATAAATGAGCTGTGGCATATCCACTCTGATGACTCTTAAATTTATATCTTCACTCCTTCCAGTCCAGGGCCATTTTGTAGTGTGCCTGGCACTTTATGGAGAAACTGAGCTAAGAGAGGCTCCTACCTCAATTGCCAATGACATAAAAGACACTTACCGGCACCTGCAGTCCTTGTGTTTTCTTCTTTTTCTTTGACGATCTCTTATCCTTGATTAGCATTTTTGTTTTGATCCATGCTGACTGCCCTATCTCTGAGGATCTTGAAAGGTCTGTAAGGGAAAGGGTTTGCATGAAAAAATTTAAGATTGCGCTGGGAGCCATTTGGTTTTACAAACGACTGAGAATGGGGAGAATGAGAATATAGTCAAAGGTGGCCAACTTTCTAAAAATAATAGTAATGCATAGAATTTAGTAATTTAAGAGCTTATTTTTTAAATAAAAAAAATGTTCACTTACTTTTAATCTTAGAGATCTTCAGTTTCTCCTCCTTGTGGAATCTCAAACTGTGACTCCGGGTGAAGGGCCTATCTCTGCGGAAAGGATTGATCCAAAAGGATGTGTTTGGCTGCAGCCATGGTCCCACCTCTGAGCAGTCACTACTATGGGCCAACCTTGATGAGTTATCAGAGAGGGATCTGGCTCGGATCTGCCTCTGGCTTTGGCCACTCTCTTTAGAGTCACTGTTACAAGTGGAGGCCAAGCAGGTCTGCCATTTTTTCTTGATGCTAAACACACCAGTTTCATCACCTTCTGAAAATGCCCAGTTCACATATCCACCTTCAATTCCCATGCTCTCGCCTTGGGAAGGGAGGGAGGTCACTTTCATTGGTGGAGATGTGCAAATCAAAGTGGGTAGAACTTGCTCCCCCTTGTCTTGTCTGGCTGGTATCTGAGCTACTGACTCGTACTGTGCCTCGGGTTTGGCCATTGAGCCCTGAGCTGAGACAGGTGGGATCTGCCAAGTCAGATGAACAGGGACCTCACCCTGGGTGACCTGTTCAGTTGCCAGCACATCTGTACCTGCTTCCACGGATGGTCTGAACAGAGGCAAGTCAGTTTCTGCAGAAAAAGGAGCTCGCTTTAGATAAGAAGGGACGAGGAGAAACTGGCCATACTTTCGCTGTGCTTGCCTGTTAAGGAACACCCCAGAAGCAACTATGGTGGTTTCTGTTTCTTGCTTTTCCTGCTCATCTCTTACATTTGAAGCCTCTCTTTGACTGTCTGTAATCTCAAGAAGGGGCCCCCTCTGCCCTCTCGGGGTACGCTGGCCTCTGGCCAGGCTCCGCAGCAAAGAAGGAGGCATGCTGTAATACTGGTATTTCTTCTCCCCAGAGATCTCCATGCTGCCTGGAACCCCTGCACAGATGACATTGCTCCAGCTGTGGGGAAGTTTTCTGCACGTAGGATGCTTTCTGCTGGCCAGGAGAGCCTCATCCTCTTGTAAGGTGTCAACAGCAGAAAGGAATTTCAGGGTATCCACTGTCAGGGCAGAGAGGTCCTGCAGGTGTCCCACTTGGCTGTCCAAGGACAGTAAAGAGTCCTTTATAAAAGACACTTTTTCATTCATTTCTTTCATTTGGAAGTACATCTCTGTAACCCTAATGGTAAAGGGAGGGAGAAAACCAATAAACACGTTAAGCCAGTGGGAACTTGCCTTGCTCTCTTCCTGTCCTCGTTCCATCCTTAGGCGGCTCCTCGGCCTCAGCTGCTTCCCCAAGTTGGGTAAGTCCTCTGTCTTCTCATCTCAGGTGGTTTCACGCCATCCTATAATTCCTACTATCACTCCAATGAGGAAACACTAAACATCTACTTTTCTAGCCCTTATTTCTAACATTCCAGGACCGTGTTTCCAGCTTCCTGCTAGTTAACCCTTCAGTGTCCATCTACCATATTCATCAATTTACATGACAAACACCCAAAAATCTCCTACTGACAAGCACTATGTTATTTTGGATAGAGAAAGGACATCTTGAGGAAGAAGCCAGAATGAGAGGAACAGAATTAATGATTAAATATGTAATTAGAAAAAAAATTTATAGATCTTCAAAAAAAATCCAACTACAGATCAAATAGGCTTCCTAAGCTTCACACAAAACCCATTTTAAGAGACCTACATTCTGAGAAAGCCTGAGGCAAATTTTTAAAAATTATTTTGAATACTTTAACCCAACATGATGATGTCCAGCCATTGAGTTACATAAAAGCAACACAAGATATTTTCACCTATGAAAGTCAAAAGTGGGGTGCCTGGGTGGCTCAGTTGTTAAGCGTCTGCCTTCAGCTCAGGTCATGATCCCAGGGTCCTGAGATCAAGCCCCGCATCGGGCTCCCTGCTCCTCAGGAAGCCTGCTTCTCCCTCTCCTGCTCCCCCTGCTTGTGTTCCTGTTCTCACTGTCTCTCTCTCTCTCTGTCAAATAAATAAAATCTTAAAAAAAAAAGTCAAAAGTTAAATTGCAGGTAGAATCTAATTAAATGTAATAACTGACTTAGAGACAGAGAGAAAGAATGAAGGAAATGTTGGTTAATATTATCTGTATATCTATAAATTTCTCTATATGGAGATAGGTTTCATTTTGTGCTCCCCTCACCAAAAGAGATATGTTGAAGTCCTAACCCCCTAGTACTCCTACAATAGGACCTTATCTGGAAACACGGTCTTTACAGAGATAATCAAGTTAAAATGAAGTCATTAGGGTAAACCCTAAGCCACTATGGCTGGTGTCCTTATAAAAGGGAAATTGGGACACAGTGAGAAGATTATGTGAATATACACAGGGAGAAGACCACCCTACAACTTCGGTGATGGTGTCTACAAACCCAGGAATACCAAGGATTGCCAGTAAATGCCAGACGCTAGAAGAGGCAAGGAAGGATTCTTCACTAGAGCCATCAGAGGAAGCACAGCCCTCCCAAGTTCTTGATTTTGGACTTGTAACCTCCAGAACTGTGAGCCAATAAATTTCTGTTGTTTTAAGACACCCAATATTTGGTACTTCATTATGGCAGCCCTAGGAAACGAATACAGCTTTCTAAGCTTAACAAAACAATAAATTACAAAACATCTCATATTTGGTTATATTAAAAACAAACTCATACACATAAAAATATATAAAAATTTTAAAATAAACAGTAAGTTAGAAATTTTTCTAACAAATATGATGAGGTGTTTGTATCCCTTAATCAAAGGCTTTTACAAATTGTTGGGTGGCTCAGTTGGTTAAGCGGCTGCCTTTGGCTCGGGTCATGATCTCAGGGTCCTGGGATTGAGCCCCACATCAGGTTCCCTGCTCAGCGGGAGTCTACTTCTCCCTCTGCCCCTTCTCTGCACTTATGCACTCTCTGTCTCAAATAAGTAAAATCTTAAAAAAAAAAAAAAAAGCTTTTACAGATTGTTACAGAAAAAAATTACAAAGACTCCAAAGGATGTGAACAGACAATTCACAAAAGATAAAACACAAAAGAGGGGCGCCTGGGTGGCTCAGTTGGTTAAGCGAATGCCTTCAGCTCAGGTCATGATCCCAGGGTCCTGGGTTCGAGACCCACATCGGGCTCCCTGCTTGGCGGGAAGCCTGCTTCTCCCTCTCCCACTCCCCCTGCTTGTGTTCCCTCTCTTGCTGTCTCTCTCTGTCAAATAAATAAAATCTTTAAAAAAAACACACAAAAGATAAGGAAATATGGTAAAATATTCAACCTCATTAGGTATTCAGAGAAATGGAAATTAAAATGAGTTCATCTACATTGTAACATTTTTTCAGCCTAGCAAATGATTAAAATAACTCAATGGCGACAAGAGTGCAACACTGGGACATTCAATTAAGCAATGTACATAAAGAGACTATGATTTCATGGGATGCCTGGGTGGCTCAGTTGGTTAAGCGTCTGCCTTCAGCTTAGGTCATGATCCCAGGGTCCTGGGATCGAGTCCCACATCGGGCTCCCTGCTCCACGGGGAGCCTGCTTCTCCCTCTGCCTCTGCATCTCTCTCTCTGTCTCTCATGAATGGATAAATAAAATCTTTAAAAAAAAAGAGAGAGAGACTATGATTTCACTATGCTAAAGTAGATATTCTTTACATTATGAGATAGAATATTATGCAGCCATTAAAAATCATACTTACATTATTGAACAGTAATTTTCTTTGGCTATTTCTGATGGTAGGCATGGGGATGTGGATGTCTGTTATGTTTTGTACAATATACTTTCAAATTTGGTATAAAAACTTTGTTAGTTGAGAAACAAAAGTTAAAAATATGTTTATAAATAATGTTTAATTATTTGAAAAAATTTTTTTGATGTGTAAGGGAATAAGGGACAACATACAAACTTGTATAATTTTTTTTAAAAGATTTTATTTATTTTGAGAGAGAGAGAGAGAGTAAAGGGAGAGGCAGAGGGAGAGAGAATTCCAAACAGACTACACTGAAGGCAGAGCCCAACACGGGGCTTGATCTCACAACCCTGACATCATTCCTTGAGCCAAAATCAAGAGTCGGATGCTTCACCGACTGAGCCATCCAAGCACCCCTAAACTTGTATAATTTTAACTGAAAATATATGGAAGACTAAATGGGAAAAAGAAAATTTTCAGAGTGCACTCTGGCTTACAACATTTTTTCATTCTTTTCTTTCCGTTTTATTCTTTTATTTGGATAAGTGAGTATTCTGGCCAAATTCTCAATAACAAAAATCTTTGATAAGCAGAAATAAAGTAAAGTAAAGTAAAGAAAGAAAGAAAAAGAAAGAAAAAAAGAAAGAAAACAGCAAGGAAGGGGATCTCATCAACAGTTTCGTGGCTGACATGACCATATGCAGAAATTAAAAATGGTCCCCAATCTTATGTAGGGCCTGGAAGAAACAGTGATTATACCATGAAGGATTTAGCATTCAGCTACAGCAAGCACTTCCCAAAAGAGCATGAGATATCCCCTCTCCAGAATGTATCCCAAGTCACATGGATTGAGAAATCCTGCACTCCTTCTTTTTGGGAGCTTGGCAGCCAGGAATTAAAGAACAAAAGGGGTGATGTTTTCCGTGTTTGTTATATGGGGGTGGGACCCTCTCCTTCTTACTTCTGGTACAGAATCCCACTTCTGTAACTAAGCAGAGGTTTAATAAATGCTTCCTGACCTTCTGGAACCTTCAAAACGAGAATTGGCAAAGATGTTGAGGGAAAGAGCACCAAATATATGTATATTCCCTTCCAAATATGCTTAATTAGAGCCTCTTCACTTAGTGTACTGTTTCATCTAATTCAAAAACACAACAGTCTGAACGGCAGTAATGGAGGCTCATTAAGCTCCATCAGCAGCAGTCACATCAAATGGATATAATAGAAACCAGCAACTATTCACATCAACAGGTAACAGGCTACAATAGAGACCTGTTAGACAAATAACCTGGTCATCCTCACATAGGGTCTTCCTGCTTTCATGGGCATTTTTTTTTTCTAAAGCATTATGTCCCATGAAACATATTTTAATTATATTCCTCAACCACCAACTACATTAATTTAATCTAGACTTTCAGTCATTCTGACATGTAAAGAAAAAAAATTCTTGTAAGTTTAGTTTCCCCTGTGTGCGATTTGAGGGTAGAGGAAAGACCAGTATGGCTATTGTTTTTCTGTGGGTCTTTGGAGAAGATGTTTTAAAGTAAGATTATAAGAGGGGCGCCTGGGTGGCTCAGTCGTTAAGCGTCTGCCTTCAACTCAGGTCATGATCCCAGGGTCCTGGGATCGAGCCCTGCATCGGGCTCCCTGCTCAGCGGGAAGCCTGCTTCTCCCTCTTCCACTTCCCCTGCTTGTGTTCCCTCTCTGTCTCTCTCTCTGTCAAATAAATAAAAAAAATCTTAAAAAAAAAAAGATTATTAGAAGTATATGTATAATCATCATGATAATCATAATATTAACTGAGTGCTCATTCTGTTACAAAGGCTGTACATTATTATTTTTATTTAATCCACGTAACAACCCCATAATGTAGGCATTCCTATTACCCCTTTCATAAAAGAGGGTGGGTCACGTGGCCGGTCACAGGGTTGGGGATGGAGCGAAGCTTCGAACCCAGACAGCCTAACTCCACATTCAGGGGCATTGACCCCCCCCACACTCGGGCACCTCTGAACAACTCATCAGGGATCAGGCAAAGTTCTCACCAGGGCCTTAGAGGCGTGGGAAACGCTAAATGAATTATACCAACATTTCCCAAGCTGAGAGGTGCTCACAAATGTTCCTCAGTAAGGTGTCACGACAAAATAATGACAGGACCTGCTCCAACAAGGACTCTGAGTCACAATGTGACTTGTTCTAAAATGTAGCATTCTCCAGGGGACCCTAGCGGGCTCAGTTCATAGAGCGTGCAACTCTTGATCTCGGGGTTGGATGTCCGAGCCCCATGGTGGGTGTAGAGATTGCTTAAAAAATAAAATGCAGCACTTCCCAAATATAACATGCTTATTATGGGGAAATATCCACTTAACATCTTACTCCACAGAACAGAGAGAGGGTCAAAAAGTAGCCAGTGTTTCAGAGAAAGGAAGACATAAAACAGCCTAGTCTCACAATTCACAATTCACTTAATTCTGTAAGGATGTAGGTGATCTCTCCTCTACAGGTAGGCGATCGTGCAAATATCCTCATCTTTCCCTTCCTCTTCAAACTCCCTCAGCTGCCAAGTATTCTTCCCCTCCCCCATGCCTCCGTTGTGAGCTCCCCAGAGATGACCTCAACGAGGCCAATGGTGTAGACGGAAGACTGGTGAGAGAACTGACGGATGATGTTCTGAAGAGTGAAATCAGGTCTTCATAATCAGATTCTAGAGCCCACGAAAGCCTCTAGGATATTGTTCAGAAGCTACATACCCATCTACCTTCTACTCCTTCCTCTACCCAAGGGAAAAACTCAAGAGGGATACAATATGTGATGACTGATGGTGTTCGTCACACTATGTCACCACCACCATTACTACGATGATTGAATTACTTGTTCAAAATGTCTAGTTCAGTTTCCACACCAGATCCATTTGACTCTTAACACTGCCCTTCCTATTTCCCTTATCCTCCTCTGATCGATTCTGCTTAATCCTCCCCGTGAGCCCTTCTTTCTTGCTCTGTTACACAGAGGTTGGCTCCCCTCAGGGTCCCACCCTCAGCCTACTGAGTTTTCTCACCCTTCTTGCTTCCTGGGCATAATCCCGTCCTCTGTCATGGCTTTCTTTTCTTACAAGGAGCAGACGACTCCCGAATCTCCTTGTCCAGTTCAATCTTCGCCCCGGGGCTTCAGAGCCTCACATCTAAAGCCTCCCAGGAATCTCTGGCTAACTGTGCCACAGGGATCTCAAGCTCAACAAAGCTGAAACTCATCGCTTGCCCCTTCCCCCCATCTTTTGCACATTGTTTTCTATCATGGAGGTGCCACTTTTCACCTAATTACCCCACTACAGATCTGACAGTCATCCTGGACTCCACCCTCTCCCTTGGCTGCATGTCCATCCCTAACTCCCCTCACGAATCGCCCTTTCTAAACATGTCTTTACTCATCCCTTCTGCTATGGTCTGAATGTCGGTATCTCCCTGAAATTCCTATGTTGCAATTCTAACCCCCAGAGGTGATAGTATTAGTAGGTATGAATGGGACTGGTGCCTTTATAAAAGACACCCCACAGAGCTTCCTCACCCCCTCCACCATGTAAAGACACAAGAGAGGTCTGCAGCCCAGAAGGGGGCTGTCACCCAACCATGCTGGCATGCTGTTCTTGGACTTCCCAGCCTCCAGAACTGTGAGCAACTCACAAGCCACCCAGCCTCTGGCACTTTGTTACAACAGTCCAAATGGACTAAGATACCTCCTTTCAAACCTACCATGGCTAGTTTGGCTAGTCCCTGGGACTCATCCTCCCGCTGTATCGATCCCTGCTGTCTCCATACTTCGAATTCTGACTCTTCAAATCCATAACTGAAGGAATCTGCCTAGAACTTGAATCTGTCCATATCTGACCACCTAAAACTCCTTCCTTAGTTTACAGGGTAAAGTAAGGGGCTCTCCATGACCTTGGCCCCATTCATAATCTGGGGCAAGGGGTCATCTCATCTTATGTATTTATTCCCCTTTTCTTAAGATATGAAAGAAAAGATGTATTTAAAAAGAAATCACACTCACAGTTTTTGGAGCCTATTTTTACTTTCATTGTACCCTTACTATCAATCAGCACTCTGCCACGTGGTTCATCTATGTTACCTCATGTAGTCCTCACAGCACCTCTAAGAGGTAGGTCTATTTGTGTGTGCATCTTACAAATAAGAAAACAGAGGCCCAGAGGCAATCTGCCCAAGTGCATAGAGCCAGTAGGTGGAGAAGCAGGTCTTCACCCTGGTTCTATAAACTCCTATCTGGGCATGTGTGTCCTAGAAAACAGAGAGCCAGGCTGGCCCACAAGACTCAGTGAGCATATCTATAAAGGTAGCAGAATGTGCAGAAGAGGAAAAAGGGAAGAGAAGCTCATCAAGCTCTGGCCTAAAGATATTATTTAAGGAAAACAAAATTTGTGTGCTCACAAACCTTTATTTGATATTTTTTTCTCAATATAAAATTGGTCTGAAATTCAATCGGCCACCTAAATACGTATTTACGTAATATGATATCACTTGAAAAGTCCAGAAATATGACATATACCCATAGCAAACCATTTAGAGAGTGCTTCATGTAACTCAATTTTATTTATTTTTTTTAAAGATTTTATTTATTTGACAGAGAGAGAGAGAGCACAAGTAGGCAGAGTGGTAGGCAGAGGGAGAGGGAGAAGCAGGCTTCCCGCCGAGCAGAGAGCCGGATGTGGGGCTCGATCCCAAGACCCCAGGATCATGAACCGAGCTGAAGGCAGCCACTTAACCGACTGAGCCACCCAGGCGCCCCTTTAAATAAAGCCATATTTAAGGATCCACTGCCCATCCATTTGAATGTCGAAAAAATACATGCATAATGAGGTATAACATTTTACAGTCACGTCCCTGTATATTCGAAAATGAAGGAACGCATTTAAGTTCTGTCGATTTGCTTCTGCTTACAAAAACAACTCTGTGTTAAAAAAAAAAAAAAATGCATATGGGGCACCTGGGTGGCTCAGTCGTTAAGCATCTGCCTTCAACTCAGGTCATGATCCCGGGGTCCTGGGATCAAGGCCCACATCGGGCTCCCTACTCGGCGGGAAGCCTGCTTCTCCCTCTCCCACTCCCCCTGCTTGTGTTCCTGCTCTCACTCTCTCTCTCTGTCAAATAAACAAATAAAATCTTAAAAAAAAATTAAAATAAAAATTTTTTAAATGCACATAATCACACTCAGTCTTCCATATTCCAACACAATGCCATGTATCCACAATTACCAGTGGAGCCACAGTGGCTTTGATCCTACCACGGTTTCTGAATATGTTCACTCTCTCCAACACATCTCTTTCCTCACACCTCTGAACGGCCCCCTGCACTGACCCTCCCCACCAAAACCACACATACCCACAGGCACTGGTCTGATGATGCCTTGGCCTCAAGAACTGTGTGCCCACACCCGAGCTGCAGCCTCCTGAGCACTGGCCACCCTCTCTCCTGGTCCCCCGATTGAGAGCGAAGCCCAGGCATTAAGCCCTTTCGTGGGGCAAATCACCTCCTCCCTCCTGCTCCTGCAGTTCCTCCCTGGCTGGTGAATCATGTCCAAGACCATACACATTTCTTCTGTTATCCCCGCATGAAAACAAAACAAGAGAACCTCACCTGTGCCCAGTCCCCCCAGTGCAACGAGCACGCAGCACTCGGCCTTCTCCTGTCCTACCTGCCATTGGTGGACGCACCTTGCGGCCTCAGGCAGCTGCACTGGCTATTCCTACAGCCGGGGGCACCACCCCACCGTATGTCTCTGCCCCGCCTCCCTCAGGCCCCTCCTCCTCCAACTCAACAGCCTTCCTGCCCCAGGCGACCCCAAAGAGTCCAACCCAACCCCCCCCACCCCCCGACTCTGGTAGACCCCTCACCACCATCGTTTTCGATGCCCTTATGCAACTTGATTTTTCATCGTTCTTTAACGGACATTAAATTACATCTTTTTATGTGTCTCCCTGCTTGTTATTTGTCCTCTACCCCCCTCACCCCTCTACCTGCACACACTAGAACACGAGTCCTATGAAGGCAGGGACTCTCGTCTCTTATTCACCATTTATCTCCAGGGACTAGAGGGACACCTGGAATGTAGTAGGTGCTCAATAAATATACATCCGTTACAGGAATACTATATGCTACTAAACAGAACTGTAGAGAACCCAAACCTCTGGGTTCTGAAAGTCCATCTTTCTACTTCTTCAGACATTCTAATAGAACCAGCTTTGGGGAGCTGGAAAAAAAAAAAATATATATATATATATCTTGTACCTCTCTGATGTCACTCGGATTCGTTCCTCACAGCTATAATTCAGACTTTCCATCTTCTCGTGGAAGTATATTTCCACACACTGCTCTTCGAAATCGTGAAGTCTTTTCAGATCCTCCTCACTCAGGTAGAGTTCTGTGTAAATAAATATGGTACATTTTAAAAGAGCATTATTTGTCGGTAAAATGAGACAAAAATATTAATTTTAAATGGAAAAACAGGGCAAAGAGAAGCTGATACAGAGGAGGAGTGGCTTTCCTTCTACTTGTGTTGAAAATCAATAAACTATAGCTTGTGTGAGAAAACTTTGCTGTCTTGTCACACCAAAGTCCTAATATTTTTGGAGAAGCACTATGTAGAAACAAATAGAAACATCAATTTGGCTCTTTCCTAATGTCCTATAAAGAGGTGTGGGAATTTGAAGATGACTCATGTGGAATAGACATTTTCTGTCCAATATGCTCATAGGTTAGATTATTTCTACACATTAACAAAACCACTATGTTTATATGCATATGGGGAAAGATTCTGTCTTTTTTCCCCCGCTAACTGTTTGGTCTATCACAATGACAATAAGTAACCTGTAGGTTAAAATCAAGGTTAGATGAAGTCTAAATCTGTTAAATTAATCCAGCAAGTGTAAGAAAGTTTCACCTTGTTACACTGAGTTTGTAGATACAGTTGACCCTTGAACAACATGGGTTTGAACTGTGCGGGTCCACTTATATATGTTATGGTTTTGTTCCGCCCCCCCCCTCCCCCCCGGTAAATACAGCACAGTGCTGTAAATATATTTTTTCTCCCTTATGATTTTCTTAATAACCTTTTCTTTTCTCACTTTGTTGTAATCCTCAGTATACAACACATATAATATCCAAGATATGTGTTAATTGACTATGTTATCAGTAAGGCTTCTGGTCAACAGTAGGCTATGAGTAGTTAGGTGGGAGGGGAGTCAAAAGTTATACACTGATTTTTGGCTGTGCAAGGGGCTGGCACCCCTAACCCCCATGTTGCTCAAGGGTCAACTGCATAAGTTACTCTATTGGAAACAGAGGCATTATTACCAGCCAATGGCTGAGGCTATCCACTTCCCTTGACATGATTGTTATTAACTCACAAAAAGACACATTGTTTCATGATATTATGAAGCTAATACAATTCAATGTCAGCCTTCAGTGATCACATTCCACCCATTACCTTGGCCCTCATTCTGATCTAACAGAAAAATATATTAGCTTATGAGCAAGTTTCTAATACTTGAAAAATACATAAATGGTGTTGCAAAAAAAAAAAAAAGGAGCATTCTCTTCCTTCAGTGGTTTCACTTAAATCAGGAAAAAAAAAAAAAACCCATAATGTTCCCTCAAACGTACTAGAAATCCGAACGTTTCATTATTTTCCAATGAGACAAAAATATTAATTTTAAATTGAAAAACAGGGCAAAGAGAAAACAATATTCAGCCATAAAAATATGTCCACAACTCAAGTGCATAAGTGTTTTCTGATTTTATGGTGTGGAAGAATTACTCAGATACTGAAAAAATCCAGTAACCACCCCCCTAAGCTCTAAATGCCTGTTTGCATTAAAGAATCTCTTATGCTTGGGGCGCCTGGGTGGCTCAGTCGTTAAGCATCTGCCTTCGGCTCAGGTCATGATCCCAGGGTCCTGGGATTGAGCCCCACATCGAACTCCCTGCTCAGCAGGAAGCCTCCTTCTCCCTCTCGCACTCCCCCTGCTTGTGTTCCCTCTCTTGCTGTGTCTCTATCAAATACGTAAATAAAATCTTTAAAAAAAAAAATCTCTTATGCATGAGAAACTTTGCAGTTACCATGATTTGATCGTTCTGTGGATTCCTGAAAGCTAACAACCCAAAGACCAATTCCAGTGACAGGTGCAGCTTGCATCTGTGGAGCATTCTTGTGACTCTCCACCAGGTGGCACTGCTACCCCATATGCAAACGTCAATCTTCGATAGACGATTGGAAGAAGTTTCACAAAAGTTCAAGAATTTTCCAGAACTCAGGGTGATCACACCTCTACCCATCAGAAATTTACTTGAGTTATATACCGGAATCATTCTATAAACCCAGATGAAGGTGAAGCTGAAATCTGGCCAAATCCCAGCCAATTCCAGGATCTCTCGGCTGGCTTACGCTCTCCTATTAGCTCGCAATAGTTCCGCAGCCAATGCCTGGGATGGCTTTCTATTAGAAGCCTAAAAATTATAGTGTAATTATAAGCTTTTGAATTAACTTCAGTTGTGTGGTGCCTGGGTGGCTCAATTAGTTAAATGGCCAACTCTTGATTTCAGCTCACGTCATGATCTCAGGGTCAGGGGATCAAGCTCCGCATTGGGCTCCACACTCAGCATGGTCTGCCTCAGATTCTCTCTCCCTTTGCTTACCCTACCCCTCCCCCCCAAGTCTCTAAAATAAATAAATAAATCTTTTTAAAAAATTAACTTCAATTGTACTTTGGCTTCCTCATCCAGGCTGAATCTTTGGGGGTCGGGGGTGGAAAAGAAAAGTAAATCTCCAAAGTGACTCAAGAAGAGAAAAATACTTCACTTAGCCAATTACCAGCAGGAACAAAAGCACATCAACCTATCAACCTTGTAATAACACCTGTCCCTCATACATGAAATGTATCAACAGTGCACAATCCCTTATCTGAAACTCCCGGAACTGAGTGTGTTTTAGAATTAAGAATTTTCCTTGTCTCATTTTAGAAAGGTAATATAGTGCATACACCATAAATGAAGTAAAATCCCTAACTGAGGCTAGGGCAGTACCCTAAAATCCAACACATTATTATTTTTGAAGCAAAATCAATGAATATTCATGCTACAAGTGATAAAGAGAATGAATGGCTTCACATTAGTCCCATCAGCCTTTTTTGTCCAAATGAGTCTCTAACTTAAGAAGAAAAAAGCTTTCTGCTTTCAGGGATATTTTGGATGTAGGAATTGAGATAAGGATTGTGGATTTATGCCACCCATTTCCTCTATATGTAGGAATTATCTAGAAATGGGCCTGGTACCAATTGTGAAATTGCTTGAGAGGAACTACAATAGATCTGTGAAACCACAGTAAGAAATGTTCTATTATAACAACTAGCATGAGAGTCATATTGTGCTGTGAAGATATGGATAAGCAAAATGAACTAGGAGAATCTCAAAATATGCAGATTTAAGCATTGCAAAAAAAAAAAAAAGAAGAAGAAGAAAGGAAAAATGAGAATCCACATTTCTGCATCTTGTATTCAAAACATGAAACAACCATACAGAATCACCTCCATCCTCAGTAGATTAGGAAGCAGAGAATCAGGACTCTGGTTAATAAGTGAAGCCACGTCTGTCTTATCAGTTTCCTTCAGTCCACAAGACCTCCTGTGACTCCCTTCTGTTTGGATTCCAACTTTGACAACAGGGAAATGAATATGGGTCACAGTGACTCCCTAGGAGTTATTCTGATGACTTCCCAGGTGAAAAGAGGAAACACAGGTTTTCCAGGTGACATAGAACCTTTAGACATTCAAGCAGAGATTCTGTTCTTACCCCTTCCTTTCTTTCAAAGTATTGGTTAACCTCCACCAAAAGGTACAACCACGTAATGAGATCAATGTATTTCTTTAGACCCAGGGCCTCAGCTGATATGCTGTTGTGAGTGAACGCCCAGAGATTACCATCCTGTGCCCTGAATTTAACTGCTTGTTTTCACCTTGGATCTCTACTCTTTACTCCCTTCCTAATGCCCCATAAATGAAAACTTACTTAATCCAACATCCCCCTCTTCTTGGTCATTTGGAGCTTGATGATAGCAAAGACGGCGAAGGAGGAGACCAACGTGGCTCAGCAGGATGAAAGGTGGGGGCAGCCAAGGCTTCTTGTGGTAGGTCATGATGTAACGATAGCGATTGTATTTCCACAGTTTATGGGAAATGGATTTCATATCTACATAAACGTTACTGTAAGTTGTAGTGAAGAGAGGGATAATGTTTTAATACAGCATCCTAAAATATAACAGATTCTTTCTCTATTTTCCAACTTTTATGATTGGTTCACCTGACATTCCCAACACTCAGTCAACAAAAATAATATCCATTGTATTTGTGATTCTTCTTCTACCCAAACAAGATACATTAATCACCTTCTATAATCAAATATGCTAATCAGAATAAAAAGACAGAAATTACAATCAGAGAGAAAATGCTAATGTTTTAAATGCAATGAACATAAAACTGCCCTCTGGAACTTATCACTATTCTTGGTTTACCATCTCCTCTCACATAAGAAGCTCTATTCGGCCCATAATTTACCATTCATGGTAAATACCGTTAACGTTTCTCTGTATCATCAACCAATTAGGAGAGGTTCTCCTAATGTCAAATGTGAGAACTGATAGACTAATCCTAGTTAAAACACTCAAATGAAAGAATATTGATGAAGAAGAGACAGGGAAGAAAAATCAGTTCATCCTAAAATAATCAATAAGCAGAGCTATTTAGAAACTAGATAAAAATTATTTACGTTAACTTTACAATGAAAATAACCCCTTATTGGCAGACCACCTTGGATTATTGCTTTAAAGACATCAATTTTAATATGCAGATAGAATGGTAAACACCAATACCACAGAACTAGCAATGGAATTTGTGGTGGGCGGTGCAGTTATTCTAAGTCATCCCTAACTACGTAACTTTAAGTCTATAACGTGATGGGGGTGGGGAGAGGACACAATGGGATGTCTATCCTAACATTCTGCTTAGGCTAATGTTTGGTTTGTTTAGAGAAAGATGGCAAAGTAGTATTTGAGGAGGACAGCCAAAATCAGCCAATAAAAATACAGGCAGCCCTAAACTTGAGCAGTGATAAAGAGAAGAAAGCGGACCTATGCTCGAGAAAGCCAGCTGAGAATAAGAGGAAGGGAGAAGTTTCACAGAATCTATAAAGTAGATGATGGGAAGGCAGAAAACTGGGTTTTAACAGTAGTTCTCAAAGTGTGGTCGCAACCACAGAATTAGCATCACCTTAGGACATGTCAAAAATGTAAATTCTCGGGCCCTAACCCAGAACTACCAAATCAGAAACTCTAGAAGAGACATTATAGCATGTCACAGCAGGCCCTCCAGGTGATTCTCCTGTACATCAAGTTGGAGAACCACCACGATTAACTGCTACTCTGTCACTCCGAGTGTGACTACAGCTTGCTCACCAGCAGGTGGCGATCTTCACAGTGTATTTTAGGGGTTTTGTAATTATTGCTACAAAGAATCTGGAACGGGCTGCCCCTGGACAAGTAGTCAGATCTGGGGTGTCTCAGCTTGTTCTGTCCTCACTGTGTTCCTCTCTAGAGTGAGACAACTGGTCTATGCGAGGATTTCTCAACCTCTCTTTTGACACCTGTCATTTTTGAGAAACAAAAATCTCATACCCCCTCTGAATGTTATTTGAAATGTCAAAAAAACCTATATTAACTAAACACCAGCAAATGTTAGAAGTTTATAAAATGGTAGGGCTAAAAGAGATGACAGTTATTCTATGATCTTGTAACAAGCAGGAAGGTATGTCTTCTCCATATATTTATAACAAGTCTTTTTTTTTTTTTTAAGTATTCTGATTTATTTTTGTTTCTCTCCAGCCTTTAGCTTCTCTATTTTTTTTTTTTTTTTACTTAGATTCCATTGCATTGATTTCTCTTATCTTGCCCTCTGCAGTGGAATAACCAATGAATAAAATACCCAGCACACTGCCTGGCATTAAGGAGGCATTCAAAAAATACTAGTTTCTTCCCCTCTCTTCACCAGGTTTCTTTCATCCATTAAGCAACTATGTTTACACACTCTTTTTGGTACTTGGGAAAAATTCATCAGCAAAAAAAAGACAATAAAATATCTTGTCCTTGTGGCACTTACATTCCAGTAGAGGAGACAAATAAATAGGAAAAAAAAGCATAAGTGGGTATAAAGAAAGAAGAGTAAGGGGGACCAGGCATGCCACAGAGATGGCTGAAGGAAAGGGGGCTGCACTTTCCAATGTCATCCTTAGGTTAGGCCTAATGGTGAAGGGAACATGTGAGCAAAGACTCGAAGGGGGTGAGAAAACGGGCCACACGGATGCCTGAAGGAAGAGCACTGCAGGCAGAGGGAACAGCATCTGCAAACACACCTGTGCTGGTTGAAAACCTCCGAGAGGCCAGTGTGATTAGAGAGGAGAGGGTTAGGGGAAGAGTTGTGTGACGCGTGTGACTGGAAAAGCAGCAGGGAAGCCAAGTCACTGGGGCTCTCTAGGTCATCGTAGGAACTTTGAAATGGGAAACCACTGAGGATTTGGAGCAGAGTAGTGACATCATCTGACATATGCTTTTATAGGATCACTAGGGGCTACTGTGTTGATAACAGAATATGGGGGCCCAAGATAGAAGCAGAGAAATAAGTAAAAGGCTCTCTGGTAGCAGTGGGGTGGTAAGGGGTGGTTGGACTGATGATCTGTTTGAAGGCAGAGTCAACAGGCGTTCCTGATAGTTTAGAGGGAGAGATACAAGTGGCATTAAGAATGACTCCAAGGCTTTTGATCTCGACAACTGGAGAAATGGAGACCTGACAGAAACTTGTGGTCTTCTCCATAGATTCAGGAAAGATGACAAGTAGAATAAGTATATGCTGGGAAAGAGAGGAGATCAAGATTTTGGACATTTAGAACTGTAGAATTCCATTATACATCCAACTGGTGGTGAAAGGGGCATTTGGATCTGTGAGACCGGAGTTTGAGGAAGAGATTTGGGCTGGAGATATAAATTGGAATTTGTCAGCATTTACAGCACACTGACCAAGATCACCAAACAAAATGTAAATAAGAGATGAGCAAGGTCTGGGCCCAGGGGACGTTCCAGTGTTACAAGATTGAGGAGAAGGAGATGATCCAGAAAAGCAGACTGAGAAGAAATGAAAAGTCAGATAGAAGAAAACAGAGAATAAGATACACTGGAGTCAAGTAAAGAAAAGCCATCAAGAACCCCTCAGCCAGCTTTTAATCTCAGCAACTGTTATTCTTTCATGATTCCAACTTATTGCTTTACTCCAATGCATGATCTCCTTTCATTCTGCTTGTATTACTTTCTCTCCATTTATTGTTTTTCCTCTTTTTTCATGCTCTGCTCCCTTCCTACCAGTGGTTTCATGTCCACATGTTAAAACCACAGTGAAAAAGGGGGAAAAAAAAATGGAACACACAAAAACCAAAGGTTACATACTCAAAATATGAGAATCTACTCAAAATAGATTTTGATTTAAATGAAATCATCTTGATGTAATTTTGATATTGATTTAAATAAAATAACCACACTTAATTAAAATAACCTACTTGAAAAAAGCAATCAACAGGTTCACCATGATGATATACTGCACGAAGAGGTAGACAGCTTGGAGGAACGGAGTAAGAAAAGAACCAGGAGGGCAAGACGGATGGCTTGCACAAACTACAAATAAAGAATTTAAAAGAATGAGAGATACAGTGAATCACAGTCCTATGGCTCTACACAAATATTTAGCACATTAACTTAGCAGAATACCACAAATTTTGACATCTGTATGATCCAGATGAATATTTTCCACATTTTTTTGTTTTTGTACTCTGAGTATCTACAAAGGTTTGATTTCGGCATGATGGCAAAATCTCCTACACACCATCTATATCTGAAGCATAGACTTCTCCATAAATCATCCAGTATGGCTCAAATACAATGTCTCGAGCAAGGCTCCAAGACGGAAGCTGCTCTGGTGAAAGGATGGCTTTGCGCGCCACTCCAAAGCTCAGCAGGACTATGGCCATCAGGATCACAATGTAGAACATGTTTGCTGTCTGCAAAATAGCAAGGCACAACCAGAATTTTACCACAGACTTGAAATTTAAAACAAATCAAACACTAGCAGCATTCATAATTATAGCTCCCAATAAGAAGACTGTCTAGTCATTGAGCACAATGCCCCAGGCCATGAAGAGCTGGGCTTCCTCTGGCTAAGTCATCTCCTTCTCTCTGCACGTTTCATGTCCATGTGGTCTATGGAAAAAAAGTAACTGTACTGAGCGTAAAGAACCTGTGCTTAAACAAAAAGTAGGGAGTATTCAACTTAGTCAAATGAATCCTGATCCCTAGGATTGTCTTAAGGAGTTGATGAGAGTCTGAGAAATTGATCAGGTCAGGTTCATTTCACTTACTAAATGTACATCAACTCAACCCATTTGTTCACTGTGGCACGGACAATTATGCCACGAGTATTCCATGAGTTCCTCTGCATTTCTTGGCCTCCCTTCCACAAAGCTGGGACTGTATGACTGAGTCTAGCCGATGGCCTGTGGAGTGACAGGAAGTTATTTTACTTCCTGTCCAGAACAGTTAAAAGCTGTTAGACTTTCTCCATCCCTCCCATTCCCCACCATAGGAGACCTTGGAAGCCACCTGCTGACATGGCTCCATCACAAGATGGAAGATTCTGGATCCCTGAGTTATAGGGTAGAGGTCAGTCCCCATGAACACTCATTAAACTTTGCATTAGGGAGAAGTAAACTTGTGCTAAGTCACTAGATATATTAGTTATCTCAGTATAGCCTATCTGATAAATACCAATGTCACCGAAACCTGAGAAAACATTGCTGGTCTAAAAGTGTAAAGAAAAATCTGTCTTTGGAGTCCTGAGGGCTCTTCCTTTTCTGTTCTCCTTTGTTTTTGTACTACTCTTCTTTCTCCAGAGCTAGCCCCTTCCCCGCCAGTGAGAATTCCAGAAGGAAGAGCCAAAGATAATCTGGAAGTACTGTACTTCCTAGAGGGTAGGTCTCAGGCCCTGTACAAAGCCTGTTGGAGAAGGCTAACCCGACTGCAGAGGAGGCTCAGATGAGAGAGCCGGACAGTCCAGATGTGAATCCTGACTCCCCTGCTTATGCCCTTGGGAGATTTGCTTAATCTCCATTTCCTTATATGTAAAATGTGGATAATAATAGTACCTATCTCATAAAGTCATTTTGAAGATTAAATGCATTAATAGGTACCAAGTTCTGTTCTCAGTACAGGGTGTGGCCCATAATATGGATTATTTAAGAACTGGCCAGCGGTGAGGAGATAAAAAGAGAAATTGATATTTTAGCAGAAAATATTACCGGTGATAGCCTCACACAAATCTCACCCTCTAGGATTACTATGCTTAGAGACAAATTTGATTCAATCATATTATCTGGCCCCTACCCAAAAAGCTAATAAGCAGAGTATCCAAATCAATCACCCAATATGCTCTCCAAGGACATTTGTTAAATATGAGTTTGTGGTTATAAAGGAAAGCAGAGATGAAATGAGCTGGATGTCTGTGCTTCTATAAGTAATTCTAAAAGTTAAACTGTTGAATGCAAACCACCAAAGTCGGTAGAACCATTACAAACGACCCCAGAAGGGGCACCTGGGTGGCTCAGTCAGTTAAGTGCCTTCGGCTCAGGTCATGATCCCAGAGTCCTGGGATTGAGCCCCTGAGTTGGGCTCCTTGCTCAGCGGGGAGCCTGCTTCTCCCTCTCCCTCTGCCTGCCACTCCCCCAGCTTGTGCTCTCTCTCTGCGTCAAATAAATAAATTTTAAAAATAAATAAACAAGCTTTAAAGTTCAGAAATATCTTAAACCTACAAAAAAGAAGATAATATTAAAACAAACAACAAACAAAGGATGCCAGAATATGCAAGCAGACTATACTCACCATTTTTGCAATCATTGTCACGTATGGACCTACATGTTGATTCACAGCAAAGAAGTCCAGGAGCCGTGAGAACCAGAATATGATGTCTATACAGTAGATTAGTCTTCCTGCTGTGTGCAAAGGAGGGTCGCCCCACCGAAGGCCAAAACCAACTGAAAACAGGCCGATAGCCACAGTTTCTATTACGTTCCAGTACTCACTAATCCATACCTTCACTTTTTGAGTAAACTTCCCAGGTTCTGAAATACACACCTAAAAGAAGAAAGAAAGAGGGAAATTTAAAGAATAGGGTATAACCCAAGAGACTCATAATAAAGTTCTTCGGTCCATCAACTGCTCGCTTAAAGAGTAATTTGAATCCCACCAAACCTTAGGTCACTTGGGTATTTTGGAGACTTCAGTGATCCTTGGGTAATGAATTATTAAAACAATTCTACAAGTGTGTTTTAATGTCAGTGCTACTGTTTACCAGCTATTTGAAAAACTAACCAGAAGTTAAAAAAAAAAAAAAAGTTGTTTTTCCTAGCTTTCATTAATCCTAAGCTAACACAGGGGACCAGAAAGACATTTTAAAACTCAATATTACAGCGGATCTATATACCTACAATTCTATAATTATGAGGGATAGTCAAGTATAGAGGAGACTGGTTTGAAACCAAGGAATCTTGCAATCTAGTCCTGCTACTGCCAGTGAGTTATTGAGAAATTACTAAGGAGGCCATGTTAGAAGTCACTATTAAAGAAATGACCCCTGCAACAGAATATCAGACTCAAATGTAAAATAATTAACTTTCTTCCCCTGAAGCATAAAAAATAGTGGAATTCAGATAATGTTTTTCTCCTGACTTCTTTTCTATAGATTCCGCAATAGTAACTAGCAGGTGATATAGGTATAATTACTAAGAATACATTTACTTAGTGCATAATGCTGGTCATATTAGCTCTAGGACAAAATAAATGTATATAAATGTATAGACACAGAGGTAAGTACACACTAAGATTCATATACAATGATACATAAAACAACATCATAACTGTATTGTACATAACTGATTGCAGTTACAACAGCATGGATGTTAATGCATTTTTTTTAAGTGACTCATTTGCAAAACTAAAAATGAAAATTTTGTTTTGTTTTTTGGACTCCTGGCCTCAGGGATTTGCAGCTTCCATTTTCAAAGGTGTTTAGTAAAATAATTCAAAAGCTATAAATGAATTCTTTACCTATTGCACAACTCTGGCCATTTCCGTGCCTAGCGTGAAATGGAGCTGACAATATGCAAGCAATGGTAGGCTACAAAAATCAATCTCATTAAAAAAAACACACACGCAACTTCTGGGAGATCAAATAGTTGAGGGTCTAATAACAATTAGACAGCATCACTCTAAGACTGATAAACACACTAGGACATCTTCAGAAATAACTGCTTTTAAAGAGCAGCAACCAGCAAAGTATTTGGCAAGGAGTAAGGGTTGAGGTCCGAGATTTTCCCCTAAATACCCTTCCAGCAAGCAAATTAGGATCAACATTGCCTGTATCACCCCCACCCTTGACCCGTCTGTCCCTTTTCATTATGAGCCTAAAACACCTCTTTGCAGAGGTGTAGAAGACAAAGGTAGAAGGCACGACTCACCTCCCTGACTTTCTCAATGGCATTGGTGAAGATATAAATGATAACAAGCCACTCTTGCACGCTGGGCTGGGGCTGCATCTCTACCAACACAGTGTAAGTGAACAGCATGAGGAATGCCAAATACGCCATCTGTGAGGGGGACACACATTCCCTGGACATGAGTGAGAGTCATAATGGAGGACGCCAAGCAGAAACACACCCAGGAACTTCAACGTCATAACATGGAAATATAACCGGGACCGCCCTCCGATTATTGATAACCTGATTTCAAGGAAAGCACAAGAATCTGCGGTTTTCTATTCCAGGATTAATGGAAGGAATGAAGGTCACTGTTTCCAAATGCATGGAAGGGGGCACTATCTCATCTTGCTGGCTCCTGACCAGAATTTCCAGAACCCTGTGCATGCCAGCATGCCAACAAGCCAAGAGAGAATCAAACACTGTCCCCTCCAACTAAGCACAGAAAATGTGTGTCTCCAGGACACCAACGAGCTGTATCAGTAGGTGCCTATCCTCAAATGTAATAAATTGTGACATTTACTTCTGCTGGGAGGTGTTTTTTTTTTTTTTTTAGATTTTATTTTATTTTTTTCATTTGAGAGGGAGAAAGCATGAGAGAGACCACAAGAGGGAGAAGGAGCAGAGGGACAGACTCCCCACCGAGCAGGGAGCCCGACTCAGGCCTCAATCCCAGGATCCCGGATCGTGACCCGAGCCGAAGAGAGATGCCCAACCGACTGAGCCACCCAGGCACCCCTTCTGGGAGCTTTACTTTATGTTGATTAAAACATACTAGTCAGTGGGAAAGTACTGTCCAACTGTGAGTCCTTGTAATTAAAAGACCATTGACATTTGTACCTTCAGCCCTCAGCACTCGGCCTAACACATGGTAGACTTTCAAGAAATGCATATTTAATTACTGCTTATATTTAACCTAGATTTCCAATATCTCCAAAGAATTAAGACACAGTAAGCACACACATATATATACATTGTGATTAATAGCTTTGCAATCTTATCTAAAGTCCTTATTTTCTTAAGATATATTCCCAGAAGTAGAATCGCTGGGCATACACAGTTAAAACCGTGACTCATATTACTCAATTGTCCACCAGAAAGGTTTTACCAATTTCCACAAAAACCAACAATGCATGAGACAGTGTAGTTCTTTAAATAGCCTCAGTGACAGTGCATGGTGTTCACTGATCCACAGATGTATTAAAGCCCCAGATCAATGGAGAGTATGTGTGTGTGTATGTGTGTGCGTGTTCACTCTCAAGGAGGTGAATCATATTATTTTAACCTGAACCCCTATTTCTCAGATCTTTTTGAGCTCTACCTAAGTTTGGTACATTATCCTGTCAGTACAGTTCTACAAAGAGAATGGCTAAAACCACTTCCGACTACACAGCCGGGATGATATATATCCAACAGGCGGTGCTTGGGGCAGGCGTGATGGGTAATGCTGCCTCTGAGATCAAGAGCCTGGTAGAAAAGCATATAAGATAGTTAAGGTAAATTCTATGAATTCTATTTCTCTAGGTTTATGCCTCAAAGTCTAAGCATGTTTGATGACCGCTTAGACACATGATTAAATAAATTTGTTCTATCAAGCAGTTCCCCCGCCTTTTTTTTTTTTCATTTTTGCCATTGGCTTCATGGTGGCCAGATATTAAACCACCACAGATATTGGTAATATTGCTCCTGACATTTGATTTCTTTCCGATCTTAAGAAAAGATCCAAACATGTTTACATTTTTGCTTCTTCACCATCACATGTATAACAAGACATGCTTCAGTAAAGCACACACATCATAACCTAGCAACGTGACAGCCAAGACAAAAATGCCTGTGCTCACTGCTAACATCGTCCATTATGATGGGCAGACCTGGCTGGCTACTTGGTTCCATCTGTTTACTCTTTGTTCTTGTTAATCTATTTTCTGAGCTTTATTCCTGTCTCTAAGAGTTCATCGGCTGGGGGTGCCTGAGTGGCTCAGTCAGTTAAGCATCTGACTCCTGGATTCGGTGCAGGTCCTGTGCAGGTCCTAATCTCAGGGTCATCAGATTGAGCCTGCATCAGGCTCCCCACTCGGCAGGAGTCTGTTGGGACAATATCTCCCTCTGCCCTTCCCCGGCTTGCATGTTCTTTCTCTCTCAAATAAATCATCTTTTTTTTTAAAAAAGAGTTCATCAGCTGGAAATTTCTAAGGACAGAAATACTTGAATACTCGGGGC